CATCTGCTCCGTAGTACAAGCCAGGCTTCCACCCCGGGATGCTGCCGTCCATGGCCGGCAGGTCATTCAAGCAGCTTGTTTGGCCTGTACTGATAGAAACATGAGGAATAACACTTTCCCAGCTGTGGGTAGTGAGGACAAGGACATGTTTGCAGACTTGTGCTGAGTTTCACTCTGGGAGTTGGCTGCTGCTTTCCCAGACAACACATGCTCGCTGTGGGCTGGGATGGATTTAGTTGCAGCAGCTGCCTGGAGATGCTCACAGTTCCCTGCTGCTGGAGTTTTATCCCATTCCTGTCCTGCACCCAGCCAGCACAGCCTGCAATGCCTGGATGCTCTGGTGTTGTAAATAAAATGTGCAGGCTGAGCCAGTGTCTGAGAAATCCAACCCAGCCCAGGCACATCAGGCACCAACCAAAGCCACTTCCAGCGACGTGAAGCAAAAACTGGGTTTAACCTCAGCAACAAGTGCTAAGAAAGAAACAAACACCAAGCTTTTCACTGCTCCGCACTTTTCAATTAACTTTTTTATTCTTTGCGTTTTTCTCTCCCAAGCTCCCAGCAAAGGGAGCTGAAGAACTCAACCATTCCCTTACCTGACAAGGGCCAGGAACTGCTCCCGGCTGCAGGGAGACCAGGTGAGGTCGATGCTGTTGTGGTTTCCTGCTGAGCCCATGATGTAGCCACTGCTGCTGCACAGATTCCCCTCTCCATCGTGGGCAATGCCAAGGCTGGAACAGAAGCAGCACAGAGCCCTGAGAAGAGGAAATCCAGAGGCTGGAGCCTCCCTTCTCTAAGCAAGCACTGAGCTCCCTCTGCAGCCCTTCCTTCTCCTGTTGTCACAAAGGGTTTCTCTCCTCTTTGCAGCTTCTAATTGTCACAGGACATGCAGGAATGCAAGAAATGCAATCCAAAAAAAATAATCCACGATGATGATCAAAAGGGTTAGCATAATCCATGGGGAATTCCCTTTTATGTCAAGAGGTGCTTTGGCTTCTTTCCTAAACTGGAGGATGTTTTTACCTGAATAAAACCTGCTGGGCTGCTCTGGCAGTTTCCCACTGACCTGTGCCCAATCTCATGGGCTATGGTGACTCCAAGGTCAAAGCCAGTGTCCTGGGTAATGACACAGCTCCAGAAGGAGGAGCAGACTCCCCCTAACTGAGTCACCCCACGAAGCTCCTTGTTCCCATCAGGCAACTCCAGGTCAAACCTAAAGGAAGGGAGACATAAAGAGGAAAGAGCAAAGAACCCCCACAGCTAAAAAAGCCAGGTCTAGACATTCAGCTAAATTTATCTGAGCTTTCCTAGTCTAGCTTTGCCAGCCATCTAACACTTCTTTTGACACCAGTGCCCACTGCTCAAATGTTATGATGATTCCACATTAAAAAAGCCAAACATCCTCAGAAAGCAGAAGTGAATAAAACAACCTAATCCTATTTCCCAGTCCCTCCCAGGGCAGGGAGCTCAGCACCTGGTGATGTAGAGGACAATGTCAGCATGCTGGGGGTCAGAGTCGTTCTGGGGGTTCACCTTCTTGCTCCACTCACAGACACTGATGAGGGAGGAGGTGATGTTGGTGGTGATGTTCACCTCTGCCTGGAGGGAAGGCACACGTTGGCACATTCCAAACAGCCTGGAGCTTGGGCAAGCCTCAAACACAGCAATCCCTTACCTCTGGCTCTCTCAAAACCAGCATTTGCATGAGGTGAACTCTGAAATGAGCCCCCAGTGAGGCATCTCTGAGCAGCTCTGCTCCCTGAGAAGAGACAGAAAGGATTCAATAAACAGGGGGCCTTGGGGAGTCCCACTCCCTGCTCCCAAAAACTGGGCTGCACTCACTACAACACTAACATATGCATTACAAATGTGAATAAATCTGTCAAGAGATAAGAAGTGGTTGGATTTGTCAGACACTCTGAAGCAGAGAGAAGAATCTGCATGAAAAGTCTCATAGGGTAGAGTGAATGCTAAAGACTTTTCTGCAGTACACACTGAGAAAAATTCTTAATAATAGCAAAAAGAGACATGAAAATTCTGCAACAGAAATAAAAGTGAAGTATAAAATATAAAATGGATTCAGTGGATTTAGCTCAATCCCAGGGTGAGAAAACTCTTTACCTGTGTTGCAACATTAGTAATGAAATTAACAGCTACATTTTCTATGTGGGTTTTAAACCCTCTAAGGTTTCCTTTTACTCCTTGTACAAGGGAATTTGGGGGATTTCATGCCCAGGGAAGCACAGGGGAATGCCCTGCACACATCAGTTCTGCACCAGGGACAGGTGACCCCAACCACCCTGGGGAACAGAGGCACTCACAATGTTCAGGTTGGCCAGGATGTAACGTTCTGTGTCCTCTTTGTGGTACAAGTAAACATCTGGCCCTGCCACCACCATCAGCTCCAGATGTTTGACAGCTGCCTCAGCCCTCTTGTGCAGGCGAGGAGGAGCCCACCCTGCTGGACAGCACAGAGGGACACCAGGAGGTTCAAATGCACCATAAAGGTCCTACAGATCCACTTCCTCTCCCCCAAGGCTGCAATAACTCAGCTGCAAGTCCACTTTTCTAGGGGTTTGCTCAGCTTCCCCACTTCTGGTGGTGTCTTTCAGCTGCCAGCAGCTTTAGCATCACGCCTGTGCCCTCAAAATAACAACCAGGCACCTCAGACACACTGGGCACACCTCGGTGAGGTGAAGAACCTTTTCAGGTCTATTTCTGTATCTGTAAACACCAATTTTTCCCTCTGAGCTCATGGAAGCAATGCTCCAGGAGACAGCTTTTCCAGCAGGGCTGTTACCTCTGGCTGGCTTTGCCTCTCTTGCAGCACTTTTGAAGAGGATGTGGGGGCTGGAGAAGCCGAGGTCCTTCAGCAGAGCCACATCTTTGCTCCTGACTGGCCTGATGTGAATCTTCTCCTCACCCACAGTGACCACTCCTTGCTGAAGCAGATAAAATTCCACCTCTGAGTTACTCCTACGATATTTGCTATCCATGGGGATGGCAGGGATTTATTCTGTGGATGGCTCACACATGTTTGTGCAGGAAGCTGCCACCTCCAGAGGCTGTTCCTGCTCATACTCACCAGCTGCCCTTCACAGAAAGTGACTCTGCTGCTGGCCCCAGGAGGATGCAGGGCTTTCCCACCTGCAAAGCAGCTCCCTGGGAATCTCCTCAGTAAAACCAAGGAAGAGTTCACCACCTGGCTGCTCACAAAGGAGGAGGAAAGGAGGGCATGGTCCTCTAGGAATTCAAAGGCATAGAGCTGCCCCCAGGCCTGGATGGAGCAGTGCTGGACCCGACAGGGCCTCAGCCCAAAATGTTCTTCTTGACAAGGGCAAGCTGGCTCAGCCACAACAAACTCAGGTACTGAAAGAAATGAAACAAAACCAGAACAAGGGGAGCAGTTATGAGGAAGGCTGATACACAAAAACCCAGTGTAAGGTCTATTTCCCCAGGAAAAATACCCTAAAAATGACAACTGTGGCCTCTTGGGCTCATGGTGCCAACAGCCAGAGAATTTCTGTGCTTTTGTGTATTCCAAAGTGAGGATAATCTGACTGGGAACACACAACAGAAACTGGCACAGAATTTATTGGAGCTTTTGCTCTCTCAATAAGGAGAACAGTTCATCTAAAAAAGGCTGAGACAGTTTTGTTCCTGCAGATTTTAACTGTTACTAAGTGGGAATTATCATAATGCAAAGACACTGGGATGAGCACTAGGTGAACTCACAAGGAAACAACACCCTTCCTTCAGGGATTTGAGACTTCAAAACATCTTTATTCTGAACTATCATCAATCCAGAACCAGAATTCAAATTTGTTTGTGCATTTATTAAAGATAATCATAACAATTAACAAGTATTTAAGATTACCCTTAGTCTAAAGCTTTTGTCAGAAGAAAAACACCAATACAGAGAATGGGGGCTGAGCAGAAATGTGCAAAGAGGTTGAGCAGATGTGAAGCTCTGACACATCTCTCCATCCACTCACACTGAAACCCAGACTGTCTCACTTGCACTGGGACTCAGAAACACCAAAAGCTGGTAATTTCAGGGGTTGTTAATCAGTTTTCTGCACTGCCAGCCACACAGGGTAAAACCCTATGGCCAGATGTGTTCTAAGCCGAGGGACACTGAGCCCTGCATACCATCAGCCACTGAGCTGCTTCCAAAGTAAGACACAACATCTCCCGCATCCAGAGCGCCCAGGAATTTCTGCAAGAGGAAGAAGAAGAGCAAAAACAAATGGACACGAAGCTCTCCCTTCGCTGGAAGGAACGCCAGCAAACAGCTCAGCAGCCCCGGTGCCAAACCCTCATGGCTGAGCAGAGGCTGCACAAAGGAGGGAACAGCTTTATCTTCGTGATTAGCGAGCTCGGACAGAGTTTGGCTTAGAACCGCGTCGTCTCCTCTTCTTTTTCTTTATTTTTTTTTTTTTAGCTTTTCTTAGAAGGCGGGCAGCGTTCCTGGAAGGGCCGTTGCGAGGTCAGACTCACCTCAGGGAGCCAGCACAGCCCCAGCGGGAGCACGGCGAGCGCCCGCAGCGCCAAGCTGACGGTCATGCCGGACAAACCGAGCTCTCCCAGCCGAGCACCGAGAGCTTTCGGCCCGGGGCCTCACGTGGAGCGGAAGGGAAGAGCAGAAAGAGCAGAAGCAGCGCTTGTTTGAGCAAACAGCCCCTGAGCAAACACGCTCAGAGCGGGCCCGCGGGGGACGCGGCCACGCCGGCCGCCCTTGCGCAATGACCGCGGCTTCTCCGGATTGTGTGCCAGCCCCGGCGGGCCGAGGGGCGGCTCGGGGACCGTGTGGCCCTGGGGACACACCCGTGTGGGGTGGGGGTCACCCCACGACCCCAGCCCCGGAACCACGGAACCGCCTCCCCATCCAGCCCGGAACCCAAGCGCGGGCCGGCGTTCCCCGGCGGGGCGGTGCGGCGCTGTGCCGCTCCCCCTGCGGTAGCGCCGGCCGGGTGGGACTCGCTGTCCCCTGATCCCGATCCCGATCCCGATCCCCGTCCTGGTCCCACCCCGCTGACCCCCCCATGGCCAAGCAGAGCCCTGCGGAGCCGCAGGCGGCGGTGCCGAGCGGCGCGGCCCGCGGGAAGAGCAAGAAGAGGAGGAAGAAGAGGAAGGCCCTCGGGGAAGCGGCGGCCGCGTCCAAAGGCCCCGGCATGGCGGCTGTGGGTCCCCCCCGCAACCCGCAGGAGTTCTCCTCCAACTGGAAGGCGCTGCAGGAGGTGAGGGGGACCGGAGGATGCGGTGGGGACAGGGAAGCAGCGGGGCCATGCTGGCAGTGCCTGAATGCAGCTCCGCGGGGCAGGGACACCTCCCACTGTCCCGGCAAAGCCCAATGTCCAGCCCGGCCTTGGGCACTGCCAGGGATCCAGGGGCAGCCTCAGCTGCTCTGGGCACTCTGTGCCAGGGTCTCCCCACTCTCACTGAGAAGAATTTCTTCCCAAAATCCATCTAACACTGCACTCCAGGGTGTTGTCAATAGTCCCTCTCCCCCTTTCCTGAAGGCTCCTTTTAGGTACTCCAGGTCACTCTAAAGCCTTCTCTTGTCCTTTATCTTTCTTTTTTTTTTTTAATGTCATTTCAGCTGCTGAAACAAAAGGCAAATAACTCCAAGAAGCCCATCCCCACGGGTCAAACAGACACCAAAAAGAAGCAGCCACTCAAAGCAGCCAAAAGCCCAGAAGTCCCAGCAGTCAATGGGAATGGGAATGTGGTAAAGGTAAAATCCACAAATAAAATGGAAAATGGTGCTGCTAAAGCTCCTTTGGCCAAGCCAGAATCCAAGGGGGTTACAGCAAATAAGAACTTAAATGGCACCAAAAGCAATGGGAAAAGCAGCAAAGAAAAAAGAAAAAATGGCATTGTTGTGAAGGAGAAGGACGAGCTGAAACACAAGAGGAGGAAAGCTGAGGAACCCCTGGAGCAGCAGCCCAAAGAGTGAGTATTTCAGGCAGCAGCCATGGATGTGAATATTTATTGTGGGAGGAGCACAGAGAGGTACATTCCAAGCAGCTGCACTTTTCCAGACTGAATTCTGAAAGAAATAAGGAACATTTTGCCCCAACTCCTCAGACACAACAAGAAACCTGCAGAGGTGCCAGCCATAGACTTTATTTTCACAGGGTTTATCTCTTGGTTTTAAAAGTAAACATACTTTTTGTACAACAGACACCAGATTGCTTTGAGAGTGTTAAATGTCATAAATCTGTTCTTCCCAGGGCTGACATCTGGTTTGATGATGTTGATCCCAAAGATATTGAAGCAGCACTAGGACCTGAAGCAGCAAAAATTGCCAGAAGGAACCTGGGGCTTGAAACAGAGCAATGCCAGTCTGTGGAGAAGGTGCTGGTTAAGGAAAAGGCTTTTGATGGGTGAGTGACATTGCAGGGGGAAGGATGGAATCAGTGTGAGAAATGGGAAGATAGAAACTTCCAGAGACAGTGAAGGGTTTGATCTGCAGCCTTGGAAGAGGCTTAGATTGGTGTAAAAATAAAGTACACAGACATTAAGCAGAAAAATCATAAACTCATGTTTCTGTAGTTGTAAATAAGAGTATACCTTAAGTAAAAAACTGTATTAATAAGATAATGAAGGGTTTATAATGTCAGGGTGTAATTGTACAGAGTGAGCTAAGAGTTGAGAAGTTATAATAGAAACAAGTGAAAATAGGCCATTAGATAAAAGTATACACAGTGCAATAGAAATATATAAAAGTGATAGGTTAGGAAAGCAAAATAACTTTGCAAGTGTCTGTTAGTTTAGAAAGTTATAAATTGTCTTGTAACAAAGAATTTATAACTACTCTTGAGCTATAACCAACTACTTACCCTCATAAATCTCACAGCCCCTAGTCTGAACAATAAATTGTTTTTAACCTGACTGTAGTCCCATCCCTTCAATTAAACAACAATAATAACAATAATATCAGAGCTATCAGACTGGCTTTTGCTGACTGACCTGCACAGTGAGCTGACATCTCCCTGCCCCTGCTGCCAGGCTTTGCCCTACTCACATCAAGGTGTCCCCAAGGTGTCCCTTTGCCTTCCAGGCTGACCAGGGCCGTGGCCATGGACTGTGAGATGGTGGGGGTGGGCCCCAAGGGCGAGGACAGCATCTTGGCTCGGGTGTCCATCGTCAACCAGTTTGGCAAGTGTGTGTATGACAAATTTGTCAAGCCCACGGAGAAGGTGACAGACTACAGGACAGCTGTCAGTGGCATCTGGCCTCAGAACGTAAATTCAGGTACCAGGGGTCCCCCAAAGAGGGAGGATTCAGTGGGTTGGCACAGAAGCCTCATTGGCTGAGTTTGGGAGGGTTTGAGACCTAATTTGGGAAAGCAAAATGCTGAGATTTGACTTAAACTTAATGCTAAGAAAAATTGTGGGAAGAAGTGTTTTTATACAGTGATCATCAACACCTTTGAAGGAATTAACTGGTGGAATATAGTATAAAAAAAAAATCATTTCCTTTTCATGCTGTACTCTTTGTAGAATTCTCTACACCCTTGAAGGAATTAACTGGTGGAACATAGTGTATAAAAAAATATAATTTTCTTTTCTCTTTATGGAATTCTCTATGTTCTAACAAGCAGAGATTCAGTGTACTGTACAATAATAACAGTCCCAAGGATCAGTTACTTCCCAGAAAAAAAGCAGTAGTTGCTCATGGAAGGTGTTTCTTTGTGTGGCATTTTTAGGTGAAGACTTCAAAACAGTTCAGAAGGAGGTGGCTGAGATCCTGCAGGGAAGGATTTTAGTTGGGCACGCCCTGCGGAATGACCTAAAGGTACAGTGAAAATGGAGTTTCTGATAAATCATTCTGGATCAAGGGACACTGAAAATGGAGTTTCTGATACATCATTCTGGATCAAGGGACACTGAAAATGGAGTTTCTGATACATCATTCTGGATCAAGGGACACTGAAAATGGAGTTTCTGATACATTGTTCTGGATCAAGGGAACACTCCTGAGCTCCTGGAAACCTCCTGAATCCAGCCCTGTCTGTATGAGCTGGGTCTTGTCCTTTCATGGCTTTAAAGTGCCTCTTACAGTGGATGGGAGAAAATAATGGGTAGCTGCACAGTCAGCTCTGTAAAGTTTCATACAATAGCACATTTTAGACTGAAAATGTGATTTCTTCTAGGTCCTACTTCTTGATCACCCTCACAAGATGATCAGGGACACACAGAGATACAAACCTTTCAAAGAGAGAGTCAAGGTAAGAGACTGCTGGGAAGATGCTCAATTAACAGACTCCAGAGCTGCTGACTCACTCCTGAGCTTGCTTTTACCTCACCCTGTTCCTTCTTTCCTACCTATGCACCCACAAATCTCCTAATTAATTAATTATTCCTGGTATTTCACCAGCAGAGGCTAAGATGTGCTGTACTTTGAGGAACATATTTTTACATAACACCCATCTCTGTTATTTCAAGTCCTGTGAGACAGCATGGTTTGTGATCTGTTCTGTCCCCAGAGTTCCAGGCCATCCCTGAAGCTGCTGTGTGAGAAGCTGCTCAGTGTGCAGGTGCAGACAGCAGAGCACTGCTCGGTAGGTACCTGCCCACAACAGCCAGCTCTGGCTCTGGTTCAGCCCCCAGGGCTGTGCCTTCATCCCAGTGAAAATCAGCAAATTCTGCTTGGAAGTGACATTGTCATCTCTGCTTGCTCACTGTTCACTCATTTCATAAACAACTTCTGCACAACTCTTAACTCTGAATTCTTGTTCAGATTCCCAGGGATAAAGGCAATGATCAAGATCTGTTTACCCTAAAAGCAACATTCTGCACTGTGGCAGGATGGATAAACAGTGGGAGACACCTGAACCTCAGCAGATCCTTTATTTCAGTGGGCAGGAGGATGGAAAAGAGGAATGAACTGGGGAAGCAAAACTGGGAGGGGAGCTCATAGATGCTGCATCAATGACTAAATTCTCTTAGGACTTTCCAATGTAGAGCCTTGTGGTGGGCCCTGCACTGTAAATACACCATTTTCCCCTTTCCCTAGGCACAGAGCCTACATGTAAAAAGAGATCATGAAATGTTAATTGGAAGGATGTATTGAAAGGATGGAAGATTCAGCTGTTTATTATCTCACATCCTTGTCTGGTCTGTTCTGTTTCAGATCCAGGATGCACAAGCAGCTATGAGACTTTACACCCTGGAGAAAAAGAAATGGGAAGCTGCTGTTAAGAACAAAGCTAACAAGAAAAATTGTAAAGCTTAAAAAACACAGGGCAGAATCTTTCATCTGCAGCATTTGCTGGTTTGATGTCACATTCCAGATTTGGAGAGAAGTCAGAACTGACAGCAGCTACTTCATAAAATCAATCCAAAGACAATGCTACAATAGCCTGGAAGTACAGGAATGCTGCTGGTATCCCGTGCCTGATGCCTGCTACTGTGCTCAACCAACCTTTGTAACAAATCCCTGAAGCTGGGAAGAACTTCATCAGTTAAATTCCTTCAACAGAAATAGACACTGAATAAGTTAAAAATATTAAATTATGATAGACGAAGGAAGAAACTGTCAAACTCCGAGGATTAAGATCTTTATTTCAAGTATGTTGAGGCCCACAAAGTGATGTCTACTGCAAGGTGAATTCTTAATTATTGCTGTTACACAGTTGTGGTACCCAAACCATCAATAAATACCCGTTTGTATATTATTAATAGCCCAATATTCTTTTTTTCTGGTGAGAAGAATCCTCTAATGGAGGCTCCAGGCTTTTGTATCCAGCAGTTTTGAAAGTGTTGCATCCACCAAGGTCAGAATCTCCTGGAGAGAAACGAGAGAATTGTCAGACAGAAGATTACCTTGTTGCTCCACTTATTTTTGTATTCATTTATTAATAAAAACAATGTGTCTAACACAGGTCTTTGAAGTGGCTGCTGTTACAACAGGAGAGGGAGCTTTCTCCCCTTCTGGGATTATTTTTTTCTGTGCTACCTTGGGGCTGCAGTGTTCATTGAAAGGGTGCAGGCAATGCCTGCAGGAGAACAGTTTGTGACTGTCTTTGAAAACAATTCTGTAAATACAAAACTAAAATCAGCAAAATTAAGACTAACCAGTTCTATTGGCTTGATGAACAAACCTAATTATTGGTTTCTTGCCAGCAAGCCATTGCAAAAGAAATATTAGTGTAACACATTAAATAGCTCTGGTAACTTTGCTGGTTTTTCCTTTTTTTTCAGTGTGACTACTTGGTGAAATTTAATGCAAGTTAAATCTTCCCACAAACTTCAGAGAGGTTTTTTTGGGTTTTTGTTTATTTGTTAACAATGCCACTTCCAAATCAAAAATAAATTGGATGTAATATACTTATGGCTTTATTCCTGTAAACTTCAGCCTGGTTTAGCATGAGGACTGCAATAAATTAATGTAATGTTGCAAGAGACCAGAACATAATTTTTTAAAATTTCAGCATTAACAACAACAACAACAAGAAAAACAACTTTCAATAATTTGTTCTCAGTAATTAGAACTATCCTTACAAACTCACTCTTCACTCCACATGCAGCTAATTCTCTAAATTTCTGCACTATGATCAAATCCCTCACCAGAAATAATACATGAATATATTTTATTATCACAGAGACTTCTCCATACCGTGCTGAATGGAAACTGGAATTTTATTTCAGACAACAGCTTTTCCATTTTGTGGGACCTCATATTCAGCATAACCTCATCTGCAGTGCCAAGGAACAGAAAATTTCTGGTTATAGCACAACTGCCAGTGGAACTAAAGGAGCACAGGGAGAGGACAGAGTTACACAAGGAGGAGGCAAGAGAAGATGAAGTTAAAATGTTTTACCATCAGAGTGGTATTTGTTTGGAACAAGTGGAGTGAATTCTCAGGAGGATGAATGCAATTTTCTCAGACAAGTCTTTCCTGAGAGCAGCTAACATGTCCCTGAGAGCTGCTGTTGTGGTTTTACTGATTTTGGGGCTGGGAGAGAGGAGGAGACTCAACAAGTGGCAGCAGCAGCCATCTCACCATACTGAACCATCTCGTTCATGAGCAGGCACAGAGCCTCTGCCACCCCTGGCTCGTGGGAATGAAGGTGATATTCCTGTTTGATCAGCTCTGTTCCACTGCCCTTGGAGTCCAGCAGAATTGCCAAAGCTGCAGTTTCTGCAAGGAAGACAAACACTGCTGGAGCTGCAGACTGCAGGATCTGTTCCCATCCCCTCAGAGTTGGCTCAGGGCACCTTTTCAGGAAGTTGTGCCCATTATTTTCAGTTTTCCTAACAACTGTTCTGAAGCATAATTGGGAACAAGTAGAAGACCAGATATGCAGAAGTGATTTTCATTTCATGTTGATGGAGCTGATTGGTAATTAATAAAAGCAGAAGTGCTGAATGTTACCTGAGAGCCTGACAAGGGTGGCTAAAGCCAGGCAGCCATTCTGCACCAGCCTTTTTCTTTCTGGGTTCATCCTGAGTGCATCCAGCAGAAGTGCTGCTGTGGGCTCAAAGTCACTGTCAGCTAAGCAACCTTTAAAGAAAAAAACAAAACACACAGGAAAGCCCAAAATTGCAGTATCCTCCAGGCCAGAAGAATAAAGAGTCCTGAATACTCAACTTATTCTGATGGGGAAGAGAAATGAGATTGCTGAGGGTGTTTTGCTCAGCTTTCCCAGTGGAATGATGGCACAAGGGCAGGCAGTAGGTAAATGTGACAATATTGTTGCATGAGGAAGAAATAAGACAGAGTAGGACTGCAAGGATGGGTTCCTTAGTGCAAATGATAATGATTATTTCTTTTTTAATATGAAATACTGTTCCAAATCAACCAAGCAAATAGCTGCCTACCAGTGGACTCCCCATTAGCAGTCTCTGGTGATTTAATTGCTGCAGCTCATCAAAAATGGCTTCATTAGGGAGCCACAGAGCGAGTGCAGGAAGAGCAACCCAGAGAGGATGCAAATTCCTGACTCTGCTGCCCTCTCCAGCCCAGCAGCCCAGACTGCAGGGCCACCACTGACACACGGACAATCCCAGCCTTTCCCATGCCCAAGGGACAGAGGGGACCCTGGGGTCACCCACCTTGGAGTGCCAGTGCCCACAGAGCTGAGCAGGCAGACTCTGCAATGACTCCATTGTGGAGGTGTTCCTGCAGCACTGCTGAGGTGACAGGGACAGCACTTGCCAGCACTGCTTGCTCTGTGTTATCCTCTGAATTCCCTTAGCAGAAAGGAAATGCAGCAGGCAGAGTTATTTAATGAAGTAATGCTATCACTGTATGTCAAATAATATCAGTAAAACCTTAATGGCTGCTGGCATTGGAATAATGCAACATTGTTTTAGTCTGGAGGGCAGCAGAGGGAAGGAATCAAAAATGTACAGAACCAAACCCAGTGCTACAGAACTAATAAATAATTCTGTTTATTGGAGAAAGCTGAACTTCTGCAGGAACTAGTGTTCTTTGTCATTTAAATTATGCATAGGGATCACAGCAAGAAGCCTCCAGAAATAACCACAGTTTTGACAGTATCCAGGCTGCAGGATGGAAATTCAGCTGTCCCATAAATCCAATGGGTAATTTGCTGCACAGAGGGAATAAAACACACCAGGTGAAACTGTGCTCAAGCTGTGCTTCCAGCCTTGCAGGATGATCAGAACACACCTCCACAAGAACACATCACAAACAAATCAGTAAATATAAAATCAGGTCACATCTTGGCCCCAACGGCTCAAATGTGACACCTCATCACACAAAGGCTTGCTAAAAAACTCTGCATTCATTTTTGTTTTTATCTAACTCTGGATCACAAAGTGATGGTAGCAGTGCTGTGGAAACAACTCTCCAGAATCACAAAATCAAATTGGTTTGGGCTGGAAAGAATCTTAAAAATCATCTCATTCCATCTCCATGGAACAAGAATGGGAGAAAATCCAATCTCATTTCCCAATCAGGAATGTCTGAACTCAGTTAGGCTCAACACCTGCTGCTGTTCAGCCACAGGAGTGCAGGCACAATATTCCTGTGTTCCACTCACCACTCACAGCCAAGCTCCAGAGAACAGCACAGCAAGAGAAGCAGATATTGTCATTGTGAAGAAAACGCCTCAAAATTGACAGAAGGTCTGGGATGATTCCAACTTTCCTCAAGTTCTCCGCAGCTACTTCTGCAAACCACAGAAATTCTGTAGAATCTGGGATTTTTGTCCCACTCGCTGGCCTGGAAACAGGCAGCACTAAGGTGTTTAAACTGAGATAACAGAGAGGTAACATGAGCCCATCAGCTGCACAAAAGGAAGCAAGGGAACAGATTGAATTCTTTAACAAGATGCATTTAACACATCTGATCCATTCAAATGCATGCCTGGCCATCCTTCTTCCTCACAGACTGGGAATTCACAGAGCAGGAAAGGAACTGAGAGGATTTAAATTACAATTTTTTACCTGTTTCCATTTAAGGATTCAAACTAAGCTTCAGAATTAGGAAACGCTGGGTAAAAATAGTTTGGTCTTAGACACGACTCTTTGTAACAAATTTTTTGAAGATTTCCCCCTTGCTGCTAAATCCTGCTGTAACCATTTCTAAAAACAGTCTTTGATGACTGTTGAACTGACACTGAAAACAACTAAAAATATTATAAATATTTAGAAATTACAAGTTCAGAAGAAAAGAGAACAAAGTAGAGAAGTTAGGGAGAATGGTTTCAATTCATCATGGCAGAGTCCAAAATAGAATTCAGGTTCTGTGCCCTCATTTTCTCAAGCACTACTATTTGCAGAGCTTTTATTTGTTTCCAAACCAAGAGGAAATACAGATTTGTATCTTTTAGAGTAAATCTCTGAAGCCTCAGCATTGTATCTTAAGCTTTCAGGGGTGTTATCACTATCTGGTCAATCTTACCACTATTAAATTAATAATTACCCACAGACATCCACACCTCTCAGTGTGGATTATATCTTGGATTTGTTTCAAAAAATAAAAATAAATTAAGATTCCCCAAAGAATGAGCAAGGTGACCCACCACTGGCTGAAACCATCATCAGAACTGTGCAGAGCATTGAAAGGAACTCTTCATTCTCAGAATGTTCCCTCACTGTGTGTAACAGGCAGCTGGCCACACTCTCATCCAAGGCCATCGTCACCCCCTGTGTCAGAGCTGTCACCACAAACAAATAAATAATAAATAATGAATAATAAATAATAAATATTTGGAATAACACAAAGATTTCAGTGCTTTTGAATGAAATCTGAACCCCCTGCCCTGCAATCAGCCTAGCAAAGCATTCAATTAGCAGCATTTCTTAGCAAAAGTTACTTTCAACTTTCATTTGCTGAAACTCAATTCTTAGTATTTTTAAGCTCATATCATCAGGTGGTTTTGGGGTAAATTGCCATGAAAGTGACAGCAGGGACCACACAAGAGACCCAAAACCACTTTTATGGTTTAAAATTAAAATACCAAAACAACAAGAGTCTTATTTATGCCCTCTAGCAACACTCTGCATCACATGAAAACAAACTTGGTTGGACAAGATCAGCACCTGTATTTAAAATTAACACAGAATTGCTGTGTGCCAGTCCTGAAGGAAGGCCATGAGAATTCAAAAAGCTGCTTAACTTCCTTTCGTTCTTTAAATTCATCCCCTAAAATTGTTAATTGAGCAGATAATGGGTTCAGTAATCTTTGCAAGACCCAGCAGAAGGAGGAAATCTTAATTGTACCTTGACTAAGAATTTCAAGCAATAAAGTGCAGCCTTCCACTTGTAAATCCAGAGAATCTGTGTGAACCTTCATGGCAAGAGTGATCACTTCTGTGCATGTCAGCAGATAGGGGAATGCTGTGGGGAGAAAGAAATTCTTTGAGAAAGGTTCTTGAGTCAAAGAGAACAAACCAGAGTGAATTGTTTTAATCTGAGTGGGAAATGTCTCCTATCAATTAAAGCTAAGAAAAACCCTGAGTTTTAACATCACAAGCCAATGCCAGCATTAAAGTGCTGTCAGAGGACAGAGCATTTTAGAACTGATTTAACACAGTGCTTTGAATTATGAACTTTGATCTGAAAATCTTTCAAAAGAAAGATTTTCTTTTGAAAAATGTGCAGCTTCTGGGAGCAAACACACAGCTCTCACCTCAGAGCTTTCCAGACACAGGAATTGGCCATGTGGAGCTTCCTTTGGCTCTGCCAACCTTGCAGCCCCAGGAATTACCCCCAGGTCATCACAGGCCTTGTGGAAATTACCTTCCTCAAATGTCAGCTTGTTACCAATTCAAATATCACAGGTTTGGGGTTCTTCCCCCAGTGCCCATTTTTATTATCCAGTAAAACCCCTCTGCTGGTTAACAGAAGCATGTACAGAACAAGAACCAACACAATCCCATCAGCTACAGAAACAGGAAGAGAACAATTTCATTCTCATTTGTGGGCA